TTACATCCTCAAGGGAATGAAATCAAGAATAGTAACACTCCGGAAAAGAAACCCGCGATATTGATTCCCAACATCTGGAGATGTGGTCCGAGCTGGATAGCTCCGATTCTGTTTAAAGATAATTTCCTTCCGAGGGTGAGAACGACCATGTGTGTATACTGATCACTGTACGTATCAGTATGTAGGTTAACCGGAGGCTACATAAAACGTACCACGTGAATATAGCATGCTTCTGACATGCAGTCATGTTTATTTTAGAATTTTCAGATCATAAGCAATGACATTTGTGTAAGTTTGCAGACAAATAGAGAGAAACTCATCTGTTCAAATGAGGTTCCTACAAAACTGAAATCATTTCAAGTCTTGAAGGAATGTTGTGAATGCCATTTGTTTCTTTGATTATTTAAGGCCAAGTAAAAAAAAATAAATAAACCAGTTTCTTGTCCCCCTCCCCCACTTCCTTTTTTCCCGGCTGCCGGCTGTCTGGGTTTTTTTTTTATACTCATATTTGCAGTATAAGCAACATCAAATAAAGAAAGTCCACACTCATTGGAGGGGTCGTAATTTTGAATCTGATCGTTTGATGATAGCGTCATTTATATCGAGACCTTTGGAGAATGTTGTTAGCTACATTTTGATACCTCGTTTGCCACCAAAGACTGTAAATCGCCCAACATTGTCAACGGTTTATGAAAAAAAGATGCAGTTTAAAAAGTTGCAAATTTAAAGAGTACGCAAGTGGAAACTGCTGCGTGACAATGTTACGCTGTCCAAAACAAACAGCAGGGAATAATAATGAAAAAAATACAGTATTTATAGTGCGCACTTTCTCTGGAATCCATTCAAAAGCACCGCAAAGAATGCCGATCGCACAGTGCTTGCATGCATGGGAGCACGTGAAATTGAATGACTGCGCTTTGTTCGGGCACTGCGCAGTCGATAGGGGCCAATTACGGTCATGTGTGATTACGCTTAGCAATTTCTCCTCGCGTAATCTTTAAATCATCAAATTTTTGCCAATCTCTTCAAAACATCTACGTTTTTCTACACAAAAGGAGAATCTTCAATAGATTTTTAATCACAAATTTAGGCCAAAAACGATTTGTCTAACGTAACGATCAAGGACTGCATTTTTTTTTTAAAAATTATTTTTTTTTCCTTTCAAATATCCATAGAATTCTGGTATTTTATAATTTTAATGTCAATATCCTTAGTCAAACTGTCCGTGAACGTCAGTGACTGTTCAAACACGATAATCACTTTGTATCTCCATGCCGTGCGAAACGCGTGCATGCATAGGAAACGGTGACATTTCGCGGAGAGATAAAGCAAATAGATTGTTAATGAAGAACAGTAGCATGCTACTCGACCTTTGGACTTAATACGGAAGTGAGCGCAATCATTCATGGAGTATAATGTGATGATTATGATAGATTCATGTCGTTTATCACCCGCATTCGTACGTCGCCGTATGCGCCGGCATTCTACTCGAAACGGTGGCATTTTCTTAACATTGATTGTGGAGAATTTTGAAAAGGTTAAAACGATAAACTGCAATGTTATACTGCATGTGCAGGGATCATACCGACATATGGTGTGGTATCTGTGTGCTTCGAGATAAGGCCAAAAAAAAAGATGTTGTGTTGCTCTCATCCAACCGATCGAAAAATCTGGAAATCTCCGCTCATTCTTTCATTGAAAAAAATTCAATAAACGTTTAATAACCTTAGGCCAAAAAAAAAAAGTCTCCGGTTTCTGGTATGCGTGCGCGTCGCCGAAGTCATGCGCGTCGGCAAAATGAAAAAGTTTATTTTTCAATGAAAGATGATGTCTCAAAACCGCCAAACTCACTGGTTTGACTGGAATCCTGCTGCTGCACAATTTTAACGTATTTTTAGATGGGGTTATGATCAAGAATAAGCTTTATGTAGCCTCTCTGGGCCCCCATATATTTGCACTAAGTTTAGTCGGGCACCATTTACAGTCATCAGTCGACATTTGAAGCCAAAAAAACAGGTACTGAAAAAAAAAAAAAGCCGCGTCGCCGCACTACTTTGTGGGCAAGCTCCATACCAGAAACCGGAGACTTTTTTTTTGGCCTTATCATAACTGTTACTTTGTAAAGCTATAATTTTGCATTTTGTTACAAAACGTTCATGTACCTAAATGGTAGTACAGTACGAATTTACTGAGGCTGAGGATTGTTCTTAGGGCATGCGGTGTGATGTTCGCTACTGCATACATTGTATATACTGTTCATGTACTGGTACATTGTATCGAATGCTTGTTACCGGGTACATTATGGGCGTTGGTAGAGTAGTCCTATTTTGTGAACTACATGTACATGTACTACCCCCCCCCCCCCCCCCTTCCCAAATAAATAAATAAAAAAATCCCCGACCGATCCTCCTGATATTTTTCATGAGAGGGTGACACAAGTTTTCTTGTTTAGGGCCTAAGGAACATGATATCATTGTTACATTATTTATCACTTGTAATCGAATCATGTGTCTATTTCCATCAAAACCAGAACTGTTTGGGAAACACGTAACGTTCACGTACACTGCACTCTATTGATCTACATGTACAGGGCGACTCAAACAAAAAAAGGGACCGAGGTAGAGAAAAATTTTTACAAACTATGTGACTCCTTCCATTTACAATGTACAGTGTACAATGTACGTTGTACATGTAATAAAAATAACATAGGAATAAAGTACATGTACATGTACACTGTATGTTATTGACTAGTAACTGTGAAAAATTCACGTAATTTGCACGCTCTAATCACAGGCTATCTCTATTTTAATAGAAATACCATAAAATTCAGCTGTCCACCGATATGCATTGATGAATACCTTTTAAAGGGAATGTACAACATTTTCAAACATCAAAAAAATAAATGACCAAATTATCGCAAAATACCCGGTACTTTACTGGACTGCCAGGGGATGGCAGTCTGAAGCATCCTGTAAAACAATGGCTCCTGGTGTGCTCACATTTTCAAGTAAAGTGATATTTTTGTATCAATTTCCAACGCTGGTCGGCCGATCAGCGCTGGAAAAACTGACTTTTCTTCAAATACTGCTCTTACTTTTTTATATTTAGTTATTCCACATTGTCTCAGCTATTGATTACACATCTTCTAAGGGGTACAACTGATTCTCTGACCTTACAATTCCCCAACATCTACAAATTGCTCTGTTTCATTTTAAGTGCGGTCGGGGAACCAGACTACAAGAATGCCTGAGTGTTACCGGTATATCTGGCTCTCACTGTAGCATCAAAGCAATTTACCACTCCATGGACAGCTGTCAAAATGGGTTCTTTGGTAAAACACACGTGGATCAATTTCAGTAATTCGTTTTTTGTTTTCACATGACTGGAAGAACTTGCTTGTTTGCAAATGTAATTGCTTTTTAAGGGGAAAAATCATTAATCCTGGTCGCTTTGTTTTTAATAACTCACCCTGGAATTACGCACCCTGGAAATAAAAAAAAATTAAAAATACATGTACATGTACATGTGTTTCCGTCTTGTCTTACGCTCGAGGACAGACACACAAAGGGAGGACAAAAGATCCTTTCAGTCCTCGAACGATGGTGCTTTTGTTCGAAACTGTCCTCAATCGTACATTTACGTGCTTAGTCTATGGGAAAGTGTGAAAGTACAGGGACAAAGGGAAACACAATAGGTTGTCCTCAGGCGTATAGTAAAACACGACTGTGTGTACATGTACATGTTTGGTAACTGCTGGTTGTACACGTACATGTACAAGTGCATGTACCGGACCGGTATACAATGTATATGTTTCTTATTAACACATAGATCAGAAAGTGTGGTTGTTTTTGTTTTTTCCCCCTTCAACTTCTGGAATGGGACCATTCTTCATATAGGGTTTTTGCAAATTAACCCTTACTCTCTGAGGGTAGTTTACTGCATGTCAGTTGGTTATGCCAATGCCCTCCAGCTGCAGTTATTTGGCAGATAACAAGTCTTAACAGTGAAGGCTCCAATTGGCAGGAGTTGGAGGCCCTGGAGGGTGCCTGATACTGACCAGCTGGGGGCACTCACTTTGTTATCAGAGACTCTCATTGTTCTCTGTGGCATGTATTGGAGTGCCTGTCCAGTTACCCTTGAAATGACATGGCAGATATTGGAGGGCCATGCAAAAAACATAGGAGATTTTCTTGAGGCACATATTGGCATGCGTTGGAGGGTCTAGTAGGGTAAGGGCTAATGTCTTGGTCACATCATACATCATACATTCATGTACCATCGTGATTTTATACCCATTTTAAAATGATTTGTCGGACTAACACGCTACCAATTCTTTTGGCCATGAGATCAGTTTACTGCATCAGCTCCAGATCAGCGCAATCTGGTCTGTGCCCACACAGCTACCCATGTATACTCATGGATGGAGAGAGGCAATTGTAGTAAAGTGTCTTGCCCAAGAGCACCAGCACCAGGGTTTGAACCCCTTGCACCTTAAAATGATTTGTCGGACTAACACGCTACCAATTTTTTTTGGTCATGAGATCAGTTTACTGCATCAGCGCCTGATCAGGGCAATCTGGTCTGTACCCTCATAGCTACCCATGTATACTCATGGATGGAGAGAGGCAATTGTAGTAAAGTGTCTTGCCCAAGAGCACAAGCACCAGAGTTTGAACCCCTTGCACCTTAAAATGATTTGTCGGACTAACACGCTACCAATTTTTTTGGCCATGAGATCAGTTTACTGCATCAGCACCTGATCAGCGCAATCTGATCTGTACCCACACAGCTACCCATGTATACTCATGGATGGAAAGAGGCAATTGTAGTAAAGCGTCTTGCCCAAGAACACAAGCACCAGGTTTCGAACCCCTTGCACCATCACAGATGAGTTGGACACTGCAGCCATGGTAACCATTGAACAATATTACCGCTCTGTACGATAAATGACAATATCTCGCCTGATGTGGCTCCCTGTCTTGTTAACTATGATCTCACAGGTTGGTGAAGGCAGGGCACTGTACAACCTGGGCAATGTCTACCACGCTAAGGGGAAGCACGCCGGCCGAGCAGGGCACCAGGATCCCGGGGACTTCCCCGAAGAGGTCATCGGGTGCCTCCAGAAAGCCGTGGAGTTTTACGAGTAAGTTTGTAGGTTTGTTTGCAAAAAATCTCATTCCTCTGTGACGTTTTTGTATTGCGGCAGTCTGCACAAGTTATTGCCTCTGTGCGCGATCAAAAGGTGGCGCTGTGCGACCACTTTCGTGAGTCCCGGTGGTAGGGGCACACTGCATGCATGTGTGCGTGTGGCGCGAAGTACGCACGACTTATGTTATTTTGAATGTGCACATATGTAGTTTCGATATTTAGTCTCTCAACGTAGTTGCTTCAAACTCTTTTCAATTAGCAAACTTTTCTGTTACTTAAATTGCAAACCTAGCGAGTAATTTGGTGCAGCCTCAAGGCCGTTTTACATATTCACACGAACGCGAATTGGTGACTTCACATCAACTTTTCCCACTGCAAATTCGCAAGTTCATCGCTTTTCAACTCATGGCGTATTTCGCAGCCTTCACTCTTTATGCCAGTTAAACAGTGTGCATATACATTGAAGGTCAACCAGCACTTTCCATCTTGAATTGAAGTGGTTCTTACCGGTATCTCGAGTCTTAACAGATCACTTTACACTTTTAATCCAGTTTTTCTAATTTTTCATTTTTTGTTGCCAGGATGAATCTTGCCATTGTCAAATCGCTCGTAGACAAGGCGGCTCAGGGAAGGGCATGTGGTAACCTTGGCAACACGCATTATCTCCTGGGCAACTTTGAGACGGCAATTGGATTCCACAAAGAGGCAAGTTTTAATTTGTTCATTTATATGGTTTCTTCGTTTCTGTCTGTCCGTCTGTAGGGCCATCTGTCTGTTTTAGTACTGTCATCACTAAAACACTGATGTGTCTATTTCAGTGGAGGCCTCTGGATGTTCGGAATGTAGTAAATGATTTATGATAAACATAAAAAGTGACGGGAAACCCAAAAGCAATCAGGAACCAAATCAAAAAATGTAAAATGACCAGAAGGACCACACCTTTAATGGCTTCGTGCATTCGACTACATTCTGTGTCTGATTACAAAATACCTTTCTGTAATGAACCATGGGTAGCGGATAAACACAACTTAAAGGGAAAATACAACATTTGCAAACATCGAAAAATAAAACTACCAAATTTTTACGAAATACCTTGCTAGGATGTTGGTAAATGACAGTCTAAAGCATTCTGTAAAATTATGGCACCTGGGCCCAATTTCATAGAGCTGCTTAAGCAGAAAATGTGCTTAAGCACGAAAAAACATTGCTTAGTAAAATTAGGTTACCGGCCAAAACTCCATGTGATGTACATTGCTTGTGACTGGTATTTAGCTGTTCTTTACTTAGGATAACAATCGCATGGAGTTTTGGCCGGTAACCTGATTTATTAAGCAAGACGTTTTTGCGCTTAAGCAAATTTTGTGCTTAAGCAGCTCTATGAAATTGGCCCCTGGTGTGAAGTCATTTTCAAGAAAATGATATTTTTGTATACATTTCCAATGGTGGTCTGCCGACCACCGTTGGAAAAACCTAACTATTTTTCAACTACTGCTCCATATTTACCATTTGTTTCGGTCCAAATTGTGTTTGCTATTGGTTACATGTTCATGAACGGGTGCAGGCCAGCTAGACTGGTTCCCATACCTTACAATTTTCCGGCATCTATAAATTGATCCATTTCATCTTTAGTGGAGTCAGTGAGCCAGACTACTTGAACATTTTTGTTTTTCTTGGTTTTTCCAGCATTTTCGGACACAGCACTTCGAACATGTCAGTGGAACAATATTTTGTTCTATTATACTAACCCCTGAACTAGTTCATTTCTGAGAATTACAGCGAAAGTCAATGATGTACATTCCCTTTAAAATTCCTGTTAGGTATGTTGATGCAAGAGTTTGTGATACAATAGTGAACTGTTCTGTCAAAAGCAGACTAGGCAGAGGTTGAGATTGAGATAGGGCCAAAAAATGCTGTGGGGGTGATTTTTTCTTTCTTTCGATTTTCTAATTTTTGCATATTTGTAATCTTGAACATGTCTAAAATTTACTATAAAAGTTTGAAACCCTAATTTGAACTCTAAATATAGTAATTTGGATGATTTGTTAAGGTATATCAGTCAAAGAAATGTCACTTGAAACAGGTCTTAAAATAGACCCCAAACATTAAGTGCCATTTTCTCCGTTTCCTACTTCTCGACACGATGAACTTCAAAATAGCATAACTTTACCCAGGAATGACCGGTTTCAAAAATTAAACCACCTATTAAAAGGAAAATGTACATACTTGAACAATATGCGAAATCTCATTTTTGACCTTATGCCCAGAAAAGTCTGATTTTGACAGAACAGGTCACATTAAATGTCTGAAGCAAATCTGAGATAAAATACTGCATTGAAAGGGCTTGCCAAAGATTAAAGGGCACGAGACATGAATTTTACTTGAAAACATATTTTGTGCAACTTTCTACTCCTCTTAAATAAGGGAATAAATGTGTGCTCCGGAGGTTTTTATCACTCTGTTTAAGACCGCTTAGAGTCTGGGTGCTGATAATTACCCGAGCCGGAGGGTAAATACCTTTTCGGTAAAAAAAATCAAATAATTTGTTCAAAAAATCCCAGTTTTGTTCAACAAGATCAATTCATGCTTTTTGAAACATCCCTCTAGCAAAATAATGGAGTGTTCAGCTGGCGAGTAAGATGTAAACAACCCTTTTATGGAGATTGACGCGCGCGTAGCATGTTCTGCGCGATGTCGCGCAGAACGCACCTGGGGCGTTGCGTTTTGAATTTAGAATTATATAATTCTGATTCGCTGGTAGTGTTGCGCACGCCTACGTGAGGATTGTGAACGTTCAACCAATGAAATGGTAAGAGGCACTGGATTTTTAGGAGTCCACATTTTATGTGACACTGGAAAAGTGTTTAAGACCAGCTAGCCATGTCTTTATAATGACCGGCCACATGACGGGCTCTCGACCAATAGGAATAGCTAAACTCTCTGAGGTATTTATGAATACTGTATGAAAACTATTTGACATCCCATTGTGGTTAACTTTGTTGAAAAGGGCCCTTCTTACATTCTGTTTACGGGTTGTCTGTTCAAATTGTGAACCCCAAATTCGCTAATTATTAAAAACATTTGTGAGAGATGTTTGCTCATTTGCCTACTATTATGTACCGGGCACTGAAACAGCATCAAATCACCAAAGAAATGAAAAATTTGTGACGGCAAAATATCCAAAATTCTGGTCAATTTTGGTGCTAAAATAGCTGGAACATGGAGGTTTTGCCTGAAATGACATCACACTTTTGCTCTAGAATATGCAAATTTTAATTAGCTAAAATCAAAAACAGGCACCAAAATGCCTTTAAAAATGGCAAAATGAAAATTGAAAGTAAGGTTATGTGGGACACAAAGGTGCATTTATGTAAAAGGACTGCATTGAATAAAATTACATTACATGGGCCCTTTAAAGATTTAATGGACAATGTACAATGTAATGCCCAAGGACAAACCAGCAACTTTGTGACATCTGTCAAATGTACAGCTTGAATTCCATCTCAAAGGCAAAATTTTATACAAAAATATCAATCTGCTGGTCATTTGTACATTTTTTTCATTGGTTTTCTTGGTTGGGCAGTAAAATTGTATGTGTTTCTCCTTGAACATCACCTCACAATGGATACCTGCATAAATCTCAATTTTTTATGGAAAATATAAAGAATGTATATCCCTAACTCCCTAGGGGTGTGCAAAATCATATTAAAATTGGGGGATTCAGGACTGTTAGGGCATGTCAGGTATACATGTGAACTGAGTCATTCTTGTATACATGTTAGGGCATGTCAGGTATACATGTACATGTGAACTGAGTCATTCTTGCAGCGTGCCAGGAAAAATGTACAAATAAGGCCCCTGAAATTTATTCTGTGTAAATGTGGGTTCATGGGCGATAGAGCTGTGCCGTATATCCGAATATTAGATTGACCACTGAATATCACAATAGCATTTTACCACATGGAATATTCTTAAAATATACGATCCGTCTCAAGATGATGACAAAAAAGCAACCGCTGATTGACAAAAGGTCGGTGTCCAGACTTGCTCAATACTGAGCAGACGCCCAGTCGGAACATTCTGACAGTGTGCTTAAATCTGTGTCGGTTCTCACATACTGAGATCACTACGCCTGATTGCACATAGCTGAATTGAAATTGCTTCTAGGAGGAAGCAAGTATGAGAAGGAAGGATGAGATCTTGATGTCTTGGGACTGCAGAGGAAGACATTATCATTTATACGCGCCAGACTCATATCAACATTCCTACAGAGCTGCATAATTTTCATCAATTATCCTCCGATTATGAGAATATTCAAGGTCATTGTTTATCAATTACCAAACAGCCCTAATTTGGAGAAATGATTTTTGTTTGAAAAAGGTATTTTTGAGAAAACCCACTTTATAGTTTGGGATATTGTCATTTCGTAACTTGAATCAATTTCACTCAAACTGTTTTTAATTTCCTCTTAATAAATCTATTTTATAAAAAAGAAATTTTGAGTGGCATACATAACATTGAGTAGCGTGTTGCGATAGTCTGTACAGGTTTCGGAACAATTGAATGTTTCGCTTCAAATGAGGAAATGCTGATTTTAGCATGTACAAATGTACATGTACCGGTACCTAGTGCGCTACACTGATTAAACCACTTAAATATCTACAAAGTTTTATCATTAAGAACTGATTTCTCGCAAATACAAAAGTATTCAATTACATACATGTACACATTTACATACGTGTACAAAATTCATTGCGTTGTGTATCATGATAGTCTTGTTCATACACATTTTTTTTTTCCCAAGCGCACATTTGACCTAATCTTATGTATTTATCAACTTGGGTTTTGTGATAACCAATCTTTTTAAACTGTCAAGTTTGAAAATGATGTTTTTATTTCTGTGCAATGTACATGTCCATTGTTGATTGTAAGCAGTTGTCACCTACTGCGTGAAGCGACAGAATTTATTCACACCAGTCCGTCTGATGTTTCCACAATTTCAGTAATCTGTCAGAATTATCGGCCGTGATCAAACCCAGAAGCCTTTACAGCTGTCACGGTCGGTGGCACGAAACCGTCCTCGCCGATTAGCAGCCTGGTACTGGATGTTTATCCAATAAGGATGTGTTGCCATGGAAACGATGACATGGGCTCACAGGGGAAAAAAAGGCATTGCCTATCAACTCTCCGACCGGGATGGTCTTTTGTTCTCGTTTTCTGCCGCTGTTCGTTTGTACAGGCTCTGTACACATCTGTCCATGTTTTACTGCATCTATCGGCTACTACAATATACAGTGTGTGCATTCCTACTAGTGTGTGTGCAGTGAAAATACATGTGCGTGTTTATGGTGTAAATCGAGGACACACACGTGCAACAGCATTGATGAATATTTATTGAGGACAGGAACCAAATCGAGGCAACCTCGATTAAAAAACGTGTGCAAAACCAAGGAGAGCTATTGCAAAAAAAGTATAAATTAAGGTATTAACCGAACACAACCCATCAAAGTTCAACAGCAGGTTTTGTTTAAATCTGTTGGGATAGGTACAGTACCCCTAAACAGATGGTCTTTTACACTGGGGTTGGCATACCACCAGAAACTAAGTCCAACAGTGTGTGTGTACAATTTCCCATGTGGGTGTTGGAATTTGCCAGAATGGGTATGGTTCCTAGTAAATTAGGCTGGGGAGTTAGGGTTAAGGGAAGAGGAACAATAGAAAATCCTCGATTTATGCCATAAACAAACTTGGGTGAACATGTGTGAGTTTGTTTCTGTATTCAGTAGGGGACGTTGAGCAATAGACGACTGTAGGGTCCCCAATTTCCGAAGGTCCCCAATTTTGCGATGTGTACAAAACATATGGGAGGTCTTCCTAAAAAGTTAGAGTACAAACAAAAGAGGGACACTAGGGGGTCCCCGATAGGCAAATACTTGTCTATGTTTAGTCTATGTGTGACTATTTATAGTCAAGACAGGAATTTTCCAGGAATTGTTTTTTTGTCTCTCCGTTGATTGAAGCTTTTCATGTTCAGTGCCGGACATACATGTCATCTTTGTTCAAGACGTCAGTGGGGTTTTTTTTGGCGCATGCATATGTACATTTTAATTTCGTACTTAAAGATATTCCAACAACAGAAGGTGCAAATTACAGGACGATATCACTTCCGGCTATCTGACAACGGTGAGAGTCAAGAATCAAATACAAGTCCGTGGGAATCGATAGTCGATGTCCATCACAGATCGACCTGATCCACAGAATCGAATACATTATGGAATATATTATAATTAAACATCGTCTGCGTTCCCAGGAGTGTAAAGAATAATTCATGAAAAAAAAAATGATGTTAAATTTTTTTGAGAAGATTTTTTTATTCAATGCCATGTGAATAACTTCTTTTTTTGCTAGAAATAATAGCAAGACCTTTTTGCTTAGAACCATCCCTCAAGCCCGCCAAATCCTCCAATTGTCACCATTGTATTAAAACATTGGATTCAGCCTCAATCTTCCAAAAATTTTCTGTTATTTCTTGAATTTGTTCAGTAGATGGGTGACCATTGCCTCAATCCTTCATAATCATCCAGCAATCACTGTTAATGGGTTGAGGCAGTGCCGATTACATTCAGAAGCAGTGTGGATGATAGTGAGGATAATGGGCTCAATTATGCATAGCTGAACACAAATAATGCTGGGAAACTACAGCCTACGAACTGGGCACAATGCAAGATTCCTCCAAAATCAACTGACACTTTTTTGCTGTTTAGCCTCAATCCTCCAAAATCGTCCAAAACCGCTAGGAGGATTTTGGATCTGATTGAGCTTGCAAAAGAGAAACAGTTATTTTAATTAATTGGAGAACTCATGGCATTAATTAGAGAACTCATTCAAAACACTGTATTTTCAAAGATATTTTCATGCAAAAGACATGTCCACTAAACAACAGATCAATATCACTTAAATAAAAGACGTCCATTCAAATTTAATTCCAATAGTAGAGTTCTGCCAAGTCAGCTTCTTCTAATAATAAATATTTGTTGCTTTTGCTGACAGAGGCTGTCCATCGCCAAGGAGTTCGGAGACAAGGCAGCCGAGAGGAGAGCCTACAGTAACCTTGGCAACGCCTGTGTCTTCATGGGAGATTTTGAGACAGCTGCCGATTATTACAAGTGAGTGGGCAGTCGTGTCTCCCTGACGAGACCGTTTCCTGTCGGTCAATGCTTCTGGAAGTTTTACGCCTCAGCGAGTAAAATTCAAAATTGGCTTTAGGTTTAAGCCATTCTGGTTGCATGCTGCGCTCAATTGACCCATCGCCGAGTTAGAGGGGCACTAGGTCCTGAAATCCCCGAAAATTTAATGTTTGGGATTGTTTACTTATCCAATTTCAGACATCTGGTTGAAAGGAAACCAACCTAATGTCTTGCCGTTCCCGAGAAAAGACCGCGGTTGTTTACATCGGACACAATGGAGTACAAAGATATATTTTCCTGTCATTCTCATACATGTACAATCTACGATGTACACGTTGTGTGTGCCTATTATAACACACGTACACAGCACCGTGCTCGCGAACACCGGTGAGTAATCACCACTGCACAAAATGTGGTTTCTTACATGTCTGCAAAAGACGAACACTTTACGGATGAAATCACAACTAGCATCCAAACAGCTCGACTTTTTGGGGTCGCAAAAGTGGACCCCGAAATTTGTTATCTCGCACGCATAATACAGGAATAACACAAAAACGCCAGGATAATGTAGTTGTGTGGATGTTTATATCCTACTTTGAAATGTTCTTTCCGATTAACTTCATTTCGTTTGTAGCCCAAATGGGCTGTTCCAGGAAGCAGTGTACGTCCCTCAACCCTATGGAATTTTTGTATGCTAAGTTTTGCTTGTCTCAGATTTTGCGCGTTCCGCATCCATTTGTATATCATGTAATTGGACAATATTTCACAAGCTGTGTTGACGCGATTCTAACGCAATTCTACCTAAGTCAATTCCATGGAACCGCTCAAGTGGAAAAAAGTACATGTACTCAAATAAATAGACGTAATGACCGTTTGCCACAAGATGAATTTTTAACAAAACCCTGTTGTTTAGGATGTTCTGTTTTATTGTTTACATTTGTGATTATTTGTTTACATTTGTCAAGCTAAATGAGTCGTTTGTCGGGAATTTTTATTTGGAGATGCAGGCCAAAATAGGACCACTTCATCACATCTCTTGGTGTTCCAACTTCCATAATTTTTGAACTAAAGATGGTATCAGCATGTGGTTTCCACAGCAGTAATGCTGAGATTATGCTCTTTTCAAATCTGTAATAAAAAAAATTTGACCAGGGTCGACAAACGACTCATGTAGCTTGATCGCATCACATTTTTTAAAATCCCAAGTTTGTAAAACTTTGGTATATGCAATCCTTTATATTTTTTTAGGGGGGGGGGGTCTTATTTTTTTTTAGTCAAGACGTGAGCTAACCGGTATAAGTATTGAGTGATTAGAACATTTTTTTTCCAAAATAAAAAATCAAAATACACTTTTCTATTGACGTCTATCTTGCATTGGGGGTCACTGCTTTAAGATCAAGTTTCTTTCATGCGTATTATCATAATTCTCCCTTTGCGCAATTACGGTATCGATGCGCCGAAAATAACTCCATCGTAAGGCTGTTGACAGGGCTGGATTTGCGAAAGGCTTCACTGCGTATGTCATTATCTCACAGAAACTCAATTTGAAGTTTTGCGTAACTCGATTTGTATGCCTTTCCATAGTGCGCTGCACCTTGTTAGTGTTTTACAACAGTACTGTTATCGGCAGTACGTTTGAAGAAGGGAAAGATCAAAATTCAAAAATTTGAGAAATTTCAAAATTGTTTTTTAAAGTGCTCTGCGTTTGGGGAGGTTTAACCCTGACTCCCTAGGCCCTTTTTGCTGGGAGCAATCCTCAATCCTCCAAAATCCTCCAACATTTTGCACTTATGTTCGAATGAAGGATAGCCAGTGCCTCAATCCTTCAAAATCGTCAGACAGTCCTGCCTCAAGAAATGCATTCATCCTCAATCCTCCAAAATCCTCCTCCTTTTCAAACGCCATTCATCCTCAATCCTTATGTGCTTAACAATACAATTCATCCTCAATCCTCCAAAATCCTCATGTGCTTCAACACCATTCATCCTCAATCCTCCAAAATCCTCATGTGCTTCAACACCATTCATCCTCAATCCTCCAAAATCCCCATGTTTCTCAAACGCCATTCATCCTCAATCCTCCAAAATCCTCATTTGCTTTAACACCATTCATCCTCAATCCTCCAAACTCCTCATGTGCTTCAACACCATTCATCCTCAATCCTCCAAAATCCTCATGCGCTTCAGCACCATTCATCCTCAATCCTCCAAAACCCTCATGTGCCTCAACACCATTCATCCTCAATCCTTCAAAACCCTCATGTGCTTCAACACCATTCATCCTCAATCCTCCAAAATCCTCATGTGCTTCAACACCATTCATCCTCAATCCTCCAAAATCCTCATGTGCTTCAACACCATTCATCCTCAATCCTCCAAAATCCTCCTACGCTTCAATCACCATTCATCCTCAATCCTCCAAAATCCTCATGTGCTAAAACACCATTCATCCTCAATCCTCCAAAATCCTCATGTGCTTCAACACCCATTACTGGACCAAGCCCAGTCTAAAGTGGCTTTCTTAGCTGTTGGTAGCTTTCCAGCACTTAACTGGCGCATCACTCATCACTCAAATTCTGATGGGAGGCAGGCTGACTCTAAACAACAGACGCATATACATTGGGGATAGCCTGAGTGCTTATCAAGAACATATTTATGGTCATCGACTGATTAAATAGCCATTATCTTAGTAGGGGGCTCATGAATACGAACCCGGGATTCACGGGTTCGCGAAAGCCACATTAGACTGGGCTTGGTCCAGTAATGCCATTCATCCTCAATCCTCCAAAATCCTCATGTGCTTCAACACCATTCATCCTCAATCCTCCAAAATCCTCATGTGCTAAAACACCATTCATCCTTAATCCTCCAAAATCCTCATGTGCTAAAACACCATTCATCCTCAATCCTCCAAAATCCTCATGTGTTTCAACACCATTCATCCTCAATCCTCCAAAATCCTCATGTGCTAAAACACCATTCATCCTCAATCCTCCAAACTCCTCATGTGCTTCAACACCATTCATCCTCAATCCTCCAAATTCCTCATGTGCTTCAACACCATTCATCCTCAATCCTCCAAAATCCTCATGTGTTAAGACACCATTCATCCGCAATCCTCCAAAATCCTCATGTGCTTCAACACCATTCATCCTCAATCCTCCAAAATCCTCATATGCTTCAACACCATTCATCCTCAATCCTCCAAAATCCTCATGTGCTTCAACACCATTCATCCTCAATCCTCCAAAATCCTCATGTGCTTCAACACCATTCATCCTCAATCCTCAAAAATCCTCATGTGCTAAAACACCATTTATCCTCAATCCTCCAAAATCCCCATGTTTCTCAAACACCATTCATCCTCAATCCTCCAAAATCCTCATGTGTTTCAACACTATTCATCCTCAATCCTCCAAAATCCTCATGTGCTTCAACACCATTCATCCTCAATCCTCCAAAATCCTCATGTGCTTCAACACCATTCATCCCCAATCCTTCAAAATCCTCAACACCATTCATCCTCAATCTTCCAAAATCCTCATGTTTCTCAAACACCATTCATCCTCGGTCCTCCAGGATTTTGAAGGATTGAGGTGGGTTAGGGTTGGTTTTCATCACTTAGTGGAACAAATTTGTTTTGTGAAGGCACTCTCGTCAAGCGCCGATGATCCTGGCCGATCTTAGGCTGCGAACCTGAACTTTTAACAAGCATAATCAAATTTGCATTTTATACGTTTTAAACAAAAAATTGTTGAAGAAGCGCAAATCCATACACGATACAGCTGACACTTTTCGTATCGATTTGACCTTCGCATTATCTTGCAATCCAATAACAAAACACCGCGTCTATTTCTGACAAAAGAAAGAAAAAGAATTCTTGAATAAATATAAAGGTCTTACGTGTAAATACTCAAATTGACAGATGGCGAATTCAATATTGGATTTTGCCCTTCACTGAGGTATTTTGAATTTTACATACCCGGACACAAATTACATCTTATAAAAGATGATCTGGTGTTGAATCAAAGAAGTGTGTACACAAAAAGATGTGTCTGTTGAGGCTGATGGAAAATCCACTGTAGTCACTGTAACGATCGGGTGTAATATAAACCAAGCGGCTACTGGAAAATAACTAAAAACCCTGCCGTCGAGTGTCACAACACGAGATCACGGAGCGCTGTTAGATAAAGCAGATGTTCCGGAGCTCATCTCCAAGAAGTCCGCCATGCACTGTGTCAATATTAGACGAAGGTGACCTCTCCGGCTATTACATGTACACATGTCGACGATTGATTTTTCTCTCTTTTTTTTGTGGTCCCGGACGAGTGCTTTGACTGCTCTCTGTAATTTGAGCAGGTCATTATGAATTGATTTTGAGGACAAGTCGCCGTTGACGTGTCAGCTGTTGTGTTGACCTTACTAATTAAAGCCACGGTGATTGGCAGGTGATTCTGCAGCGCCTGAGTTGCGTGCTTCCTGAGCCTGAAGCGGGCTTTTACACGCGGCTGTGGATGGACGCAGCAGCACAGCAATGGCAAAGAATTTAAGCTGTAGCCAAATTATGTCTACAATTTAGAAATTTCTTGAGCCCAGAACTTGAGTTACAGAGCTGTGATCACATCAGCTGTTCTGATGTGCTACGATATCTGTTCTGCTTTGGGAGAATATACCTAGCCGAAAAACATGTACCGGTACATTTGTAACTACTGTAGATAAACCCTAACCTTCCCAAATCCTCCCAAATCCTCTTTGCAAAATGGTGGATTTTGCAGGATTGAGGCTATATGGCAAAATTGTGTGGCTGATTTCAGAGGATTCACATGTAAAATGTCAAGGTCTTGGGCCAGACCTTGTGTTGTTTATGCTCAGCCATGCATAAATTCAGGCCAAGATTATACTTGAAATCCTCCGCACTGCTCCAGGATGTCACTGGCTCTGCCTCATGGATATTTTGAAGGATTGAGGCAGTGGTCACCCCTTTAAGGACCACATTCAAGAAATGACGGATGATTTTGCAGGATTGAGGCTGTATGCTATTTTTACATGATGGCAGTTGAAAGGATTTTGCAGGATTGAGGTTGCATCCTAGCAAAAATGCTTCTAGAGGGAGTTAGGGTTCAAATGTATCATGTCTTGTTTTAGCTGTAGGTGTGGAAAAAGATTGTTCTTCAAACGCTGGTCCAGAATTTATTGTCTTCTTTTGGAAAGTTTGGGTCTATGTTACTTTTTACTATGTAAATATTTAGTTCATCAAAATCCCATACTGTATCCTCCTAACAACTGCCTAAAATGGTAATGAAATCATCATACATTTCATGTCTTCATTTTCATCTGCAGAGTTATCTATAAATTATCTATTACATGAAACAGTTGTATACTGTAGAAAGCTGCTATAACAAACACCACCGTGATGAACATTTGGCCGTAACCAATATAGCTTTCAAAATGTACATATTTGTATACATGTACGTGTACAGTTGTTCAGAGTAGTGACAGCTGTGTCTGATTTCACGAAATTTGTCTTATCTTACGACTCATCTTAGGACTTTTAAGACGAGCTCCCCTCTCTAAGATCGATCCAAGCTGAGACGCGTCCTCCGACCGATTTCACTATGCATCTTAAGCAAGATGCATCAAAACTACCAATTTGATAGCTCTTTCGTGTTTGTTATTAGCATTTGATGAAACAGTCGTGGACCCTAATGTGTATGTTATGTTATAGCAAAATTCTACTAGGTACACACTATTCAATTTGACTGACTGTATATTTTTTGATTGAATATCTGTGTAGGAAAACCCTGCACATTGCTCGTCGGTTGGGAGACATAGCCATTGAAGCTCAGGCCTGCTACAGTCTAGGCAATACATTCACTCTACTGAGGGATTATGAAACAGCGGTGGACTACCATGAGAGACACCATAGGATAGCGCAGAAACTCAAGGATAGGTAAGTCTTGCACACAAAAAAGTTAATGATAGTTCGGTGCTTACATATTTATTTAGCACTTTTTAACAAAGGTCTCAAAGCGCTTCACAATGTTACCCTGTTCATTAGGCCATGGACCTTTTTTTACAAGAGAGCCATTTTGATCTGGTTCCCTGAATGTATGCTATTAATTGTGAACTGTTGAATGGGATGGTGCCAGATTATTTATACTTAATAGCCTCACTTTCATTTTTTTGTGACTTAAACATTATGTTTAAACACAAATTTATTCATTTGAGCAGACCAGTATAATGTGTAATTAAGTAAAATGTAATTGCTTACATTTCTCTTCGCAAGTTCCAAAAATGAAGATTTTACCTCACTTTAAATTCAATTTGGCCAACTTGTGAATAAGGCCCATGAGACAACTTTGCTGCAGCCGAGATCAGCATAATCTGGTTTCTACCCTCACAGGCGCCCATTAAATACTCCTGGGTGGGGAGAGGCAATTGTAGTAAAGTGTCTTGCCCATGGACACAAACACCATGTTCCTGGCAGGGTTTAAACCCACACACCATGGCCACAGCGCTTCCTGATCCAATGCTTACACTGATTTATCAAAAATAGACTCGTCTGAGAAGCTAGTCGAAAAGTGGATTTTCAATTATGGTTCAAAAATAGGTTTTGCCTATATATTTACTGTTTTGTTTCAATTGTTTTTGGTGGACACAGGGTCGGAGAGGGTCGAGCCTGCTGGAGTTTAGGGAATGCACACACGGCCCTGCAGAATCATGAAAAGGCATTGCACTATGCAACCCTTCACCTACAAATCTCTAGAGAGGTAAGAACAATATGTTCCTCTTCAGCAAAATTTTAGTAGTTGACCTACAGGTGTTAGTCCCTGTACCGCCCCAGACCGCCCTGCCTGTTACTCCTTATTACTGCCCCAAACTGCTCAGCACTATTTGGTTTCATGGATTCAACATGGCGTAATTACAATGTGAACAAGTGCTAATGGTTAATTGCAGTTCTCATGATAAGGCCCCAAAAAAAGTCTCCGGTTTCTGGTATGGAGCTTGCCCAAAAAGTGGTGCGGCGACGCGGCTTTTTTTTTTTTTTTACCTGATTTTTTTTGCCTCAAATGTCGGCTGATGACTGCAAATGGTGCCCGACTAAACTTAGTGCAAATATATGGGAGTCCAGAGAGGCCACGTAAAGCTTATTCTCGATCATAACCTCATCCAAAAACACGTTAAAATTGTGCAGCAGCAGGATTCCAGTCAAACCAGTGAGTTTGGCGGTTTTGAGACATCATCTTTCATTGAAAAAAAAACTTTTTCATTTTGCCGACGCGCATGGCTACGGCGACGCGCGCGCATATCAGAAACCGGAGACTTTTTTTTTTTTGGCCTAAGTCAGTAAGCAAAGTGAATGTCAATCCCTCCAAGTCAGCTCCTCCCCACCATAGTTCAGCCTCAACCTCACTATAGTTAAGCCCCGCCCCACAATAGTTCAGCCCCGCCCCACAATAGTTGATCCCCGCCCCACCGCATAATAAACATACAATAAACATAGCTACCGGGGTGTTTCACAAAACATGAAGTAAAATTGTTGAACAAAATCATTGGAAATTTATCATTTTTGACTTGTTTTTTACTTTTAGACCGAATGGTGTATGTATGAATGGGAATAAATATATGCTTGGCCATTTTAAACAAGTGCGTTTAAAACGGGCTAGGGGCCTAGACCCCGATAACTGCCCAAGCCGATCGAAAAAGTGAAGATTTTGATAGTAGAGATCCCTCCATCACAATCAACCGTTTTCTGACCCTCAGAAATAGTCGGGAACTGCAGTCAACACATATTATTCCTTACGTTTCTTCTCTTATTTTTAAAGCAACTGATCAATAAATTTTGTTTTGCAAACATTTCCAAGACCACATGAAAATCGCAGTGTCGTATTTCACTTGTTTGTCATTTGACCCTGCCAGATTTCATTCCATTGAATAGCCGTGGCCAAATCAAATTTTCAAAGTAGGCTTGCCGAAAACGGAGAATAATGATTCCTCCGCATTCGGCCGTGCTTCTCCTTCCGTACCCTTGTCGAAGAAAGGAAGAAAAAGGGTCCCCTTCTCGAGTTCTTTTTCATGCCCCTAAGGCCCTGACCCTTGCAAGCAATCTATCGGCTCAGATCTGGCAACTTGGAGACTTTTTAATAATATTTCTGGGAAAGCTGTTGATTTGCCCAGGTACATGTAAGCGTAATCCAACTCTCGCACGTGAAAAAGAAAAACACAAAACATTTTCAACAGCAAATAAAATTGGTCAAGAGGACTAACATGTGATTCTTGTGGACTTTGACGATTTATTTTAGGGTAAAATTAACAGTATTTTGGGTTCTTTTCATTTTTAATCTTTTAATTTTTCAGTTCTTTGGCTTCCTGATTCATGCATCCAAAATTTTATACAATAAGTCTGAAATTCTATATTCTAGCTTTTGTTTACTTTTTCATTGTCATTGGGTGTAATTAATACTTTGTGATACTACACAGCACCAAACTATTTTTTAATTGACTAAAATTTAACGTACATTGTATGCACACCATATTACAGTGTATCATCTTTATGCCTATTTTAAAAGATTATTGTATAGTTGAAACATCAGGAATGCAGTAAACATCGAATATAGTGTTTAAGTGCATGTAGGTTATAATGTAGTTATGGGCATCGTATAATGCACATATGGACATCTACATGTATGTTGACTTTTTGTAAAATTCATGAAGGATTTGTAAAGTAATAATAATTAATCTCAATGTTGAACAATCAAAAACAAATGGGGACAGCCCTGTCATTGTTACATACAACCACGTCCTCTAGTTTTATTGTAAAGCCGCATTCGCACTGGACTTTTTTGGGTAAAATTAACAGACACTGTTGTCAACTTAACCAAAGTAAATCCAGTGCGTACAGCCGGTAAACTTCCCAAATTGTTAAGTGCCGACCGTGGATTGTAAGTTTTACAGTCCGCAGCAGTAAATTTTACAGGGCCAACTGGGCCGCGGAAGAATTACATTGTAGTTTAACGCAACGAAATCAAATTACGTTCGCACAGGAGAATAATGACAATGGAATGTTAACAATCACTCACGGTAATTTTTACAAAATTAACTCCAATGCGAACACGGCTTTGGATTGTTAATACATGTACATTGTAATATCAAGGTGGAGATGAAGCTCATGGTACAAATGTTGCTTCCCGAGATCCATTTACAAACATTGTCTCTCAAGGTCTGATCTTGATGATGTTACTAATTCCTTCCTTTAGCCTCCAACAAAGAAGAAAGCTGTTTTGTTTGCTGGCCATGATTTCTGCAAGGTGCTCACTTCAAAACATTGTGGGTTTTGTTTTTTTCCTTCTAAAGGTCGGGGACAAAACAGGCGAGCTGACAGCGCAAATGAATCTGGCTGACCTTCGGACTGTGTTGGGACTGGACAAAGACCCATGCAGGTATTAAGCATGTTAAGAGTCCTAATTGGACTTAGACAAATTCCTGATTAGGGCCATGTCTGAACTACTTTGCTATGGAGGAAAATTACACAGCGGCTATGCAAGCGACTTCGGCTACTTCTCATATTCCCTTGTGTTGTTTCTAGCCATATCCAAGTCATTCGAACACAGCCAAAGACTCAATACTGCTGGCCCAATTTCACGGCGTTCCAAGCACATTTGCTTAGTACAAAAAAATCTGGCTTAGAGAAGCAGGTCACCAGCCAAAACTCCACGTGATGTATGTTGCTGGTGATTAGTATTCAGCTGTTGTTTGCTTAGCATGAAAATCACATGGAGTTTTGGCTGTTAACCTGCTTTTATTATAAGCCAGACTTTTTTGTGCTCAGCAAATTTTTGTGCTTAGCAGCGCCGTGAAATTGGGCCTAGACCCTTGTAGGTATAGAGTCCTAAATGGGACTATACAGAAACCATGGGGTAAAAGATTTCCAGATGGGACAAGACAGAAACTGTGGAGTTGAAGATTCCCAAATGGGACAAGACAGAAACCATGGAGTTAAAGATTCCCAATTAGGACAGGAGAGAAACCCATGCATTTAGAGGCTCCCAATTAGAAACCATGGAGCTAGAGATTCCCAAAAATAGATCCCTCTCATGCGACGCCATCTTCGTAGGAAAATTACAACTGCGTAAGGCATGTTGCTCAAAACTTCTCCGAAATGAGGCGCGGCACGAAAATGCCAATGCACTCGGATCTATACCACTTTTCAGGTTTTAACCTGAATTCAGGGTGTTTTTTTTTTCAAAAAGTGTGACAAATTAAAAGTGCTGGATTTGGTCTGAAACATCAGAAAACACATTTTTGAAAGGGGGTAAGGGTAGTTTCAGGTTTTTCAGTAGTGTTTCAGGCTTTTTATAGATATGTTGGTGGCTTCTCTGTGCAATGACTATTTGTAATCAGTGACGTCATTTGAGAAGGCCTTTTATGACGAGACAGAAACCATTAAGTTAGAGATGCCCAATGAGGACAAGACAGAACCCATGGAGTTAGAGGTTCCCAATTAAGATGAGACAGAAGCCGTGGAGTTAGATGCCCATTGAGAACAAAACAGAACCCATGGAGTTAGAGATGCCCAATGAGGACAAGACAGAACCCATGGAGTTAAAGGTTCCCGATTTAGATGATACAGAAACCATGGAGTTAGAGATTCCCAATTAGGACTGGACAGAAACCTTGCAGCTGAAGCAACTTCCCAATTAGGAATAGACAGAAAATCTTGCAAGCAATTATGTGTCCAACAGTGATTTCCCGAATATGGCTTTCAAGCTCAATGAGGTATTCTTAACCCCCCCCCCCCAAGAAAAAAAAAGACATAACAAAAACTAATATAACGTATAATCAAGTAATTTAATCAATTTTAATGAGGTTTTTTTTTTTGCTTGGTGTTTACTTTGCATGCAGAGTGACAACAAATTCCTCATTAAATTTCAAATTTTTTTTTCTTTACAGCCAAGATGGTCTGCTACAGAACGCCAGCAAAAAGACACTCAAAGAAAAAGGTATGGTCCATATTTCCTCACACAATGAACAAAAAATGTCAACAATTCTTTTTCAGTGCAAATGTTTGAAAGAAGATTTACATTCACTGGTCACTGTTTCTCACAATAAAACTTCTCACAATAAAAAGGTATTGTCCATATTTCCTCACATGATGAACGAAAACTGTCAGAATTCTTTTTCAGTTTTTTTGTGTGCTTAGTCTATTGGAGAGTGTTATATTACAGGGACGAAGGAAAACACAAAGCATTGTCCTCGGGAGTACAGTAAAACAACAGGGGATGCACAAACATTGGTTGATTGGATTTATGTTATTGCATGACTTGTAAACAAAACATGCACAAACAAATATTTAAGATGGCCAAAAAATTGTATTTAACTTTCAGAGTTATCCCGATTGTGATCACAAAGGAATCAGTACAGTCTTGCTTGTGGTTTTTGAAAGTCACGTTTCGTTCTATCTTTTGTCGTTTAGAGCTCAACAGGCAACGTCGGCAGAGTATGGAACGGCTGGAACTGGTTACCATGACACCAGACAAAGTAGGCAGAATAGTTAAAGTATTTTGTGTGTTTTTCATTCAACAAATTTATAAATAATGTTATTGTCAGCCATAGTCTTGGGCATCACAGACCAATGTTGGGGGGGGGGGTTGGCTGGACAGCATAAGACAAACTCCCTGTGAAATTATTCTTCCTGGCATGCTGTTATTTTGAAGAAAACCATAAAAGCCACTTCCAAATACAAATTTTTGGAACTTTCCTTTAGTTGGTTGGTAATTTGGTGAATCTGTGAATGCGTGCGCAAGTGTTAACACGACGCTAACGCGAGCGGTTGCTATTATTCATCAGTTCCGTGCGTGACATTGTGTAGCTGAAATTGGCTGAATGAGAGCGTGTCCCGGATGCTGATTTCTGGCACAATTCAAACCATGACTCTGCAACTTTTGAATTGAAATTGAGATCCTAGTATAATGTTTTCTCAGAATATACAGCACTCACAGAGCTAAAACTTCATCAGGTTAGTTGTTAGTTTGTTAGTGTCCCTCTTTAGATTTTGAGCACTTTTGTTGCTTCAAACGAAAGAAGAAAAAAAATTGGCAAATTATCTACCCTACCTTTAATCCAAGTAAGGTTTTTGATAATAATTCGGTCGATAACTTTTGGTAAAAATCTAAATGATCCTATATGCCTTTAACTGTTTGTTTGTTTGTTTTTGTTTCCCTCTAGAATGCAGCAGCTGCAACAGCCAACGGCAAGCCCAAGCAATCCGCGGGCGCCAAGTTCAAGAGGAAAGGCAGCAACAAGGAGAAGCTGAGCAGGAAGAGCTCCAACACCTCCAGCACCAGCTCCAGCAGCGGGGAATCGGCTGCCTGTCTCAGGACAGAGAATGTCAACATACAGGTCTCGCCTCAGCAGGTTGGTACTGGGTTCAAACCCCTCCCTGCAGTAGTTAGTAGTTCCAATGGCAAACAGAGAATGTAACAAACAGGTCTCACCTCAGCAGGTTTGTACTGGGTTCGAACCCATCCCTGCAGTAGTTATTAGTTTCATTGGCAAACACAGAATGTCAATTTACAGGTTTCGCTTCAGCAGGTTGGTACTGGGTTCGAACCCTACCGGGCCATAGTTAAAAGTTCTAGCGTTAAAAAGAGAAATTTATATACAGGTCTGGCCTCAGCAGGTTGGTACTGGGTTCAAACCCATCCCGCAGTAGTTCCAATAGCAAACACAGAATATCAACATGCAGGTCTCGCCTCATTAGGTTGGTACTGGGTTTGAAACTTCCCTCTTCGGTGGTAAATAATCCTAATGGCAAACAGAGAATGTCAACATACAGGTCCTACTTTTACAGGTTGGTGCTGGGTTCGAACACACCCTTCTATGGGCTCTGTGCACAAATACCCCCCCTCAACGGTAAGAAAGATAGAGTTAGGGGAGACCACTACATTTGAACGCATTGCCGGTTACGCTCACACGAAGACACTATGGCTATGTGCACATTCTCCCCCCCCCCCAAAAAAAAAAAAACACCCAACATACATCACGAACTAGTACGCACATGCTGTGAGTCCAGTCCGCAGAAACTCTCAAAAGTGATCCAAAATCGAGCCCATAATTATCAATTCAAACAACAAACGGAGAATGTCAAAGGAAAGGTCTCACTCCAGCAGATTGGAACTGGGTTCGAACCCCACCCTCTGACAGCTAGCAGTACCAAATAAAATGCAACATTCTTGCAACAGATGGTGTGTCTAATTTGTCTACTTAAAATTCCCAAGCATTTAATCGCTAGAGCCTTAACATACTTGCTTATCAAGATGGAATACTTTGCACTTGCTAGTCCAGGGTTGAAGTGGCATACACTTAACACAGTGTGTGTTCTGTTTTGTGTGATATGCACCATATGCATGGGTTCTCATTTTGTGTGAATCTTTCACAAATTATTGCATCTGAAAATTACAGTGTGTACATGTATGTCTGCTTTAGTTAGATATTACTGCCAGTATGTAGCATTGCTATAAGGAAATGTATAAAAGATCCCCAGGGCAATGTGGTTGATTTTAGCTGCTTTGCGCCGAAATGGCATCATTAAGCTGTATACTCCCCGGGAGCTGAGATTGTCTTTGGAATGTTTCATGGGCCCAATGAGCAGGGTAATAATGATGAAGTGCCTTGAGCACCAATAATGCTGGATACGTGCGCTGTATAAAAAAAAACATTGTTATTATAAGGTAGGTAATAAAGTCAACTGAACCTAGCAGTTGGTTGGTGTAATTTGAAAGAAACACACACAAATGGATTTAAAGCCAACGTTTATTTCTTCATTATAAGATTCCTTTTTTGAGTAAAACCAGCTAAAAAAAGCTTTTCTGTGGTCATTGATCAACTGTCAACACCAAGAGACTGGACACCCCTGTTGGCCACCACTTCAAATTCGCTAACCACTCAATATCCGATATGACTTAACAGGGTACCGGGTAAAGAGTCACTTGGCCGTCGTAAGGACTCAGCTCGTTAAGCAGGGGGAAAGTGTGGTTGAAGCATCGTCGGACTGTTGAACAACCTGGTCTCAACATCCAACAAAGCAACTATTAATGTTTCTATCTCTCCAAGTGTGATTTGTTTCAGATCCACCTTGCCCTCTGTGGTTTTCACTCATTCTTTGTGGTCGTCCCCCCCCCCCCCCCCCCCCCATCCCTTCCTCTTTACACTGACAACACTGCTCTTGTCCTCCCCTTTCTTCATCTTCACTCTGTTACATTCATCACCTTTCTTCTTTGTTCCCCCAGCATCTTTCCCTCCCTTTCCCCCCCCCCCCTTCTGTTCCCCACTCCCACCACAATTTGTTCGTTATCTCCTTTCATCCACTGTCCCCCCTCCCAAGTCCTCCTTTGTGTTTCTCCTTCCAACCCTGCCTGTGTGCATGTCCCCTGCATGTTTGTTTCTTGTCCATGTGTCATTTGCCTCTGAAGAAGTCTTTGATAAACATCAGGCCTCTCTAACTTTTTGAAATAGAATATTTTCCGCAATTTGATTGACATTAAAACTCAAGGGTGCCATTACATGTTTATCTCATAACTGTCAAAAGCATCACCAAGCATTTACAATGTAATCGTTTAGTAGTCACTACTTGTTTGCACTTACGATCCAGATAATCCAAGTGGATTTTTCTTTTGCTCGCCCCTCCCTTCTTGTTTGACAGAGATCTTCCCCGGAGTTTATGGATGATGACGACAGCTTCTTTGATGTCTTGAGTCGCTTCCAAGGTAAGCGCATGGATGAGCAAAGGTGCTCTTTCAACAGGATGCAAGACAAGCAGCGAGAGAGAGAGAACGACGAAGACAGAGGTAAGACTCCATTCTTCCCCACTCCCCCTTCCTCGCCCCGCACCCCCCCTCGCCCCGCCACCCCCCTCGCCCCGCAACCCCCTCGCCCCGCACCCCCCCCCCCCCTCCTCAACTTGTACTTAATATTTTTCAGGGTGTATCAAATAAAAGGTAATCCATCACAAATGGATAAGTCTGTTACTTAAACAGGGGTGTGACATCTCAGCTTTAAAGCTGATTTCAGTTTTTTTTGTTGTGGATTTCAGCATTTTTCCCTCACTTGCTGTGTACAAAAGTATAGGAGATTTCCAAAGTTCAGCTTTTTTTACAACTTTTTCAGCTGTTTTTGGCTATTTTTATCAGTGGTCACCCACACCCCTGATTAAAACAATGATCTTGTTAGGAGTATGTACTTTTACTATACCTCATACATATTCATGATCGAGAGCCGAATTCTCACTGGTCCATTCACCATCATGTGCTAGATGCTATTTTTGCTGTTTACCAAGTGCGCGCGTGCGACTATTCACGCACAGGGTAAATACGCATGCGTAGTAGACTGTCGCACTGGTTACCCATGCAGCATTCTACTACGCATGCGCTTTACGAAGTAATCGTGGAACTGTTGCACCGATGTAGTACGCATGTGCAAACATTGTTCAGCTACTCATGAAAAGGTAGCGGTGAACGTAATTTATGTTAGTTAGCGTTTTCCCAAGCTCTTTAATGCCGAACTGGAGAATATTGTGGACAACAAAGATGCCTCCTCTACTAACAAAGTTGTCCACAATGCGGTAGAATCTCGGCAGTAGACTTACTTCCATATACTTGTAGGCTTTCACAAAAATTTAATTAAAAACTGTTTTAATTGGGGAAATTACAATCAGTGTCAGTTCATGAAAACGAAAATGTACGGAGTGACGCTAGAAATGCCACACTATGTCAGTGTCAGTTCGTGCAAACGTAAATAACCTGGTTCTGTAAAATACGCGTGCATGCTGCGCACTCACGTGCAACTGAGTGTCAGTTCGTGGTGTCGGTGACGTACGCCTGACTAAATATATTCGGAATCTGCACAAACTGGTAGCATCTTCGCGTGAGCGTCACGCTTCGCCAGCAATGCCATGAATGCGTTCGAATGTCCCTTCAAATGTTTGAAAGTTTGTATGTAAAGCACACAACCGCATAACATTTGTTCACGGAATATTAGCCAAGTTGAAATCAACAGAGGGCGCTATTGATGTTCTCTGTGATCACTTTGCATTATTTAGATTTTTCATCCTGTTCATTTTTTTTAATGCAACAGCAAATTACCCACAATTTGGATCAATTTCTTGTTCAGACTGTGCATGTATTTTACAAATATATTTCTGTAGATTTTAATGAAAGAAAATATCTTCTGTGCAAGAATAGGTTCCGTTGTGTAAATATTTTCTTCATTTACTGTAAGTATTTAACAGAATGATGTTGTCAAAAAGGAGATTTAATTTGAGATGCAATTAATGTAATCTGAAATAGGTAAAAAACTAAATTCTCTTTTTGGAAGTGAAGGATTAAAAAAGAAATGTTTTGAAGGAGGTGAAGATTTCACTTCAAAAAAAGGAAAAATCTTAAATTTTATGTAGGTTCTGAGAAGGGTACATATTCAAGATAAGCAAACTCAGGCACAGAAAAAAATATTTGTTGACTCACAACCTTACAATTACATTTCCTCATTTGGTCATTTTCAAAATGCCACACATTTTTAATTCAAAAGAAGAATATTTGAGTCTTTTTGACAAGACTGATCTTTGGTCCGAAAATATGAGAGAACATTCCACAAGATTCTTTTTGTCATCTTGTCAGAGTAAATGCTTCATGTTCGGAGGCATACTACCTGCGGACTTGATACCCAAAGATTGATTCTTAACGGGATGGCATCCTTGTAGTCACGTAGACCATTCTGACAAGGCTGGTTTCATGTAGCATCCATTAAACATGATCTATGAATCTCTCCGTGATCAGATGATGTTTATCCATGTACATGTAAACCTAACGACATTGTAGATCTGAATTAACTTGGACTCAGTGCGTACCATTGTTTCGGCCAAAAAAAAAAGTCTCCGGTTTCTGGTATGGAGCTTGCTCCAAAAGTGGTGCGGCGACGCGGCTTTTTTTTTTTTTACCTGTTTTTTTTTGGGGGGGGGGGGGCTTCAAATGTCGGCTGATGACTGCAAATGGTGCCCGACTAAACTTAGTGCAAATATATGGGAGTCCAGAGAGGCCACATAAAGTTTATTCTCGATCATAACCCCATCTAAAAACACGTTAAAATTGTGCAGCAGCAGGATTCCAGTCAAACCAGTGAGTTTGGCGGTTTTGAGACATCATCTTGTATTGAAAAAAAAACTTCTTCATTTTGCCGACGCGCATGGCTACGGCGACGTGCGCGCATACCAGAAACCGGAAATTTTTTTTTTTTGGCCTTATCCACTTTGAAATTTGTGGTTTGTTTTGGTGTTTTTAATTTTAAATTTTTGTTTACTCTTGGAAACATTCTCTCCCTAGTCTGCCACGCTCTGCTAATATATTAATACTTCTTGATTTCAATTTCAATCTGATGTTGAAATTGGCAATATCATTTTTTTTTTCAATAATATCGGCTTGAAAATAAGTTGCAGTGCATGTTTCAAATGTTACTCGATACATTTAAATTGATTATAATCAATATCCGTTGGTCAATATATCGATTATCGCAAATTTCAACATCTACGGAGCCTTTTTGCAAATGTACATGTACATGTACCACCGTATAACGTAAGTTTTCTCTTTAGTAAAATGATATAAACAAATGTACACGTATACATGTACAGTGTAACCTAACTTTTATTTTTAATAAAAAAAAAGCTTATCTCAACTTCCAATTCGTGCACAACTGCCAAAAGGAAAGAAAAGGAATCCCCGGTTCCCCTTGCAGCACTTAAGGTGGCAGCCAGGCGTACGATCCAAAGAGACGTCGAACTGTGCATGTCCAAAAACCAAGAGCTGTGTTGAATGACGTCCATGCCCGTGGCCTGATAGGTGTGGGGCGCAGTAATAATGTTTTCCCAGAAATTGGGCACTGTTGTCCCAGTGTCTTGACGTCAGTTCTTTAAGAGTTCTTGGGGACGGACAAGGAGAAAGTGCTCGCATCACTGATGCACTAGTGGGCGTTTGGTTATTTGTAGTGTACTCACGGGCTGCGTTTGATACCCTAATGTTTTCGGTAATTGATTTCTCTTCTTTGTTTCTTTCTTTATCTCTTGCCTGAAATAAACCCCTGAATCTCAGAAAGAGCCCATTAAGGGATTAAAACTAAACACCTCACCGGCTTGTTTGTGTGAAATTGATCTCTTGCAGCTTCTGGCTGCGGGGATAATATTGAATTTGGACGTCATTCAAATGTCTGAATGTTGTTCAAGTTGGTAATCATTCCTGGAATTTTCTGTACATATTTTCAACTTCAGAGGCGTGTGGTTCTATAAATACAAATTCAGCGGGTTTTATCTGTTTATTCTTAAGTAAATATTGTGACACTCGTAGCTCTGTGAAGAGACACTAAGACTATTATCGCAATACACCGTAGAAGTGTGACGTCTCATGGGGCCATCTCAAATAGTGACATGCCCAAACCATAGAGATATCAAATTACTTTGTAGCTGACTGTAGTTATCACTCAGAATGTGATAGATGTCATTATTTTTTTCTTTTCAAACGGATGAATAATTGATGTAAAAGTGGGCAATAAGGCCCCCCCAAAAAAGTCTCTGGTATGCGCGCGCGTCGCCGTATCCATGCGCGTCGGCAAAATGAAAAAGGGTTTTTTTCCAATGAAAGATGATGTCTCAAAACCGCCAAACTCGCTGGTTTGACTGGAATCCTGCTGCTGCACAATTTTAACGTGTTTTTAGATGGGGTTATGATCGAGAATAAGCTTTACGTGGCCTCTCTGGTCTCCCATAATATTTGAACTAAGTTTAGTCGGGCACCATTTGCAGTCATCAGCCGACATTTGAAGCAAAAAAAAACAGGTAAAAAAAAAAAGCCGCGTCGCCGCACCACTTTTGGGCAAGCTTCATACCAGAAACCGGAGCTTTTTTTTTTGGCCTAAAGTACATGTATCTCTACGTAAGGCCAGGTTTTTATAGACACATCACCACAAGCAACGCCTGACCTCAGCGGCGTATGACCTAACCACTTCTTTTGCGTATTCCATTGTTGACGTCACAAAAACATTTTCAAAAATGCCATCCACAGGGGTGTGAAACCTCAGCCTTAAAGCTGATTTCAGCTTGATTTGATTTGGATTTCAGCTTTTTTCCCTCACTTGCTGTGTACAAAAGTATAGGAGATTTCCAAAGTTCAGCTTTTTTACACCTTTTTCAGCTGTTTTCAGCTATTTTTATCAGTGGTCACTCACACCCCTGATCCACTTAGAAGCCAAAAATCACAAAATAGCAGTCATTTAAAATGTCTTCTTTTTTTGGGGGGGGGGGGGGAATTTGACAAGCACAAACAACATTCATTATTGAAAAGTACATTTGTACCATTATAAATATGCAAGGATGAACCAGGTGGTACCGGTATGCCAAAGTTGAGAAAATTATTACAATTTTAGTGCTGGAGTAGTTGTAACAGGCCCAGAATTTCGTCGAACTAAAAATGATATGATAAAATCTCACCAGAGAACTGTTCGGCCAAAAAAAAAAAATAGTTCTGCTTCTGGTTACCCTACCTACCCTATTTTGACAGCCCCTACCCTAATTTTTTTTTTGGGGGGGGGGGAATGAAAAAAACCTGAAAACCATCAATTACTACCTTTTACCCTTGACTACACACAGACACCTCCAAATGATCGTACACAAAAAAATCCCCCCCCCCAAAAAAAAAAAAATAATTACCTACCTACCTACCTTATCTTCAAATGCCATGTAATTGGAAGCAGATTTTTTTTTTTTTGGCCTTATTGTCCATCTGTGATATCTCATTACATAAAAGAGTGT